AGCACATCCCCCTTACAGCCAAACCCCCTCTCTCTTAATACACACACATAAATGTTCAGACATAACGCTCCCCTTCTGTCCCTTTACTGGTCCATTTCTCTCCTGTCCTCTCCTTCTCCTTACTTACACTTAACAACTCCCCCTCTCTTTGTCCTCACATGCTTTCATTCCTGTATTTTCAGAGGACTCCTCGCTCCCTCACTGTCACAGTCATTTGCGTGCCTCGTCTTTTTCCTGAATGGGAGGAGCCCCTGGATTCAACAGCTCTCTCAACATTTCTCCGTTTTGTCAGATTGCCAAATTGGCTATTGTATTTAATCACTCACACTGCCAAATCCCATGAAGTAATTAAGAACTTTTAAATCCGGCAATTAACATGTAAAGATTAGGGCTACCCGCTCATGCTCAGGGCTTTGGTGCAGATGCTGATAATGCTGGATAAGCAAAAGCAGTTTCCTCTGAGTGGGGGCTGCAGTGGGGGCTTGTGCGAGGGAGTGCGGATATAAATTGAGCGCCCTCTTATGTAATTCCATTATTCCAGACAATCTGCCTTAATGTGACAGTGCGAAAATCCACGCTTTATAATAACCATTTCGTCATAGCATAAGACAGACAAAACACACACAGAGACACATGCAAACGCACTGACATAATTATACTATGTGTGTATAACATATACATATACAAACACTGATGGACTTTCCTCATTTTTTAACCCTATATTAAGATTTTAGAGCTAGATATCATTTATATTCCAGCCACTCTGAATCTCCTTGAGGACAATAACTGAGAACATTTGACTTAAATGCAGCATGTTTGCAACAGTCATAAGACACAAGACGAGGTAACATGAAATGCAGCTGACTGGAGAGAATTAGCTTGTTTTCACTTAGAGCCTCACTTGTAAATGTGTGTGTGGGGGTGTGTCATATTTTTAGCTAAATCAAATTAAAAGAAAACAGGAGTGTTCAAAAGAGTTTACATTTTAGGCTAAATACCTGGCTACTAGACTCAAAGATATGTTTTACTTGGAACGCATCACAAAGGATGAAATTTTTAATTACAGTGCTATACTTTCTTTACTTTCATGCTTTAACTTGTCCATCTGCAGTCGCTGCGTTTTAACTAGACTTAACCCAAGTTGAATATTTTCTTTTAAAATGATTCATTAGAGTTTGAGAATTAACTTGTAAGACCTTTGAAAACTACTTTTAAAGGTTCAGGTTCTGCCGCCTTGCTTGAGTCTACGCATCAAATAAGCTGCACATTTGCATTTAAGCTTTTTTAAACCAAAACGCAGTACTGCATTTTGCTTACATGTCAGAGACACCCATTTATCCTGTTTTATACAAAGCAGAGATGAAAGCTGCTTGAAATGGTTGACTACAGAGTGGAGATAACAGCGCAGCAGTCAGAGACTGAGGTACCTCAAGACTTCCTGTGATCTCCACCATCAATCAACTTTAGAGGGCTCCTAATGGTTTCTCTCTAGGCCCCGGGGCTGCCAGAGGTTCATACCAAACACAACCACAAAGCAAACTGATGCACAGCAACACAGTGTCACATTCACACAGTGATCAGGTTCAGATGCCAGAAACATTTAAATATGATAGCGGCCACCACAAGGGATGCTAATGCAAGACCTACTCCAATTACCAAAGGAGCGGGCACTGAATGCAGAGGCTGAACACCCGGGCTGTTTGGACTTGTAGATTAGCAGAAGGTCAGGTGCAAAAGCAGGGGTGCTTTTTGTTTAAGAGTCAAGAGTGGCAGAGGGTACATTTAGCCTACTTGGGTATCATGTTTCAACACTGAGCTGAACTGGGTCAACAGGTTCGAGTACTCGACTGGGGAAGACGGGGCCTCTCCCTGCATGCTGATGCCACAGTCTTGCTCTTGTTAATGCACATTTTTGTCTCCATTAGCATGAATCACAGGTGAATATCTCACAGCTAACTACGTTTCCTTTCGCTGTCAGGGGACAAAGTGTGATTCAGGTCACCATCTCCAAATCTGCAAGACCCATGTCACTTGTGTGTCTCCCATCAACACCAGAGGGGTGTATAACGAAACATGATTGACACGGCCAGGATTTTTTGTATTAGCCGGTTCAACGAAACCGTAAAACCACATGTGCAATAACATGTATCACAACAGTGACTAATAACTTTGTTAACCCAGGCACTCTTCTTCACTGTCTGTGGGTGCTCACATTAATGGGGCTGTCTTATGCGTCATTTACTCGTCCACAGAAGTAACACAAAATGGATCAACTATGCGTATTTAACAGATTTATAATGAATAGCCTACACACCCCCCCCCAAAAAAAATGGCAAAAGCCAAGCCAACACTGGTACTGCAAGTAAGGAAAGAAGGCAACAGAGCAGAAAAAAATATTAATACGTAAATATATTTATATCTTCACTCAGTGCACTGTCAGTGCTGGATTTTAATTTGTGATTTGACAGCTGCACATTAGAGCTCTGACACTTTCAAACTGACACATTTAAACATCAGTGCATTCAGCTCTAACACGGTCTTATAGCTGAATGTTAAGAGATGTAGAAATCACTAAGGTTTTTTTTTTTTTGCCAGATCGTAGCTAAATAATTTAAAGTGATTTATAAATCCTGCTGATAAATAGCCTATAAACAAACTGATTAATTTCTAATCTGTGTTTTATGAGCTGTAATTCCTGCAGTGTAAAATGGACTTGGCAGCAAATTAAAAATCTACGTAAACACATATTATCTCTGAATTTTACACTGAAACTCTGAATATAACCTGCATTGGACCAGGTTGCATGCTCAGCATAAGTTGCTATGGTGATCTAAGCAGGCAAAAGGAGAAACACGTGCATGACACTGAAAACTCCCAACATCGATACTGCTTTGTAGTACAGCCCTCTGGTGTCTGGCTTCGTGCACACTGTGAGGATAGGATGCATCAAATTCAACAGAATGAATTTTTCTGATACTGGATTCCCAGACCCCCCAGACTCAATACGTAACTAGGAAATAGATACTTTGTTAGCTGGTTACTACCTGTTGTACCCAAACATATTCAATAACAGAGAGTTTTGTGACTGACCAGATGTTGATGGCCAGGACACAGAAAAGGAACTCTATATCGTGGAAGGAGTGAAAAGAACCAGCTTATGCACAATCACCCTGCGCAGAACAAGCTTTTTCAAACTTGCTTTAAAACACAATCATGTCACACTGACTGAATAAATCAATACCCAGCTTCGCTCATCTTGTAGCAAACACAAACCGGCGATCCAAATCAAACTTCAGCAGCGAGGAGCTCTAATTAGCAAACACGTGTGTCCTCATGCATAAACACACATCCAAAGTAGAGCCCCAGATAAAAGCAGCAAGACAAACATCCACACACAGCCTTAAGTGTAAATCATTTAGCTGAGAGCATTTTGCTTCGTCCCGAGCTTTGCCGGAATACATCAAACAGTGAAGAAAAAGATGGCTAATTAGTACTCATTAGAATAAGAGGCAGCCCCACAACTACACAGCTGCATTAATCAAAGGTTAACTATTCAGATCAAACAGGAATGTGTGACAACCACACCGATGATGTCATGCGCTTTACCAAATAGAGAAAACTGGACTGTTGCCAAAGCTTGGTAAATGGGGATGGAACAGGAAGGCTATGACACACTCGTCTCCGCTTCCTGCTTTCATACAGCGTGCTCAGCCTACATCATCAGCTGTGGTCTTAAACTACACGCTGCTGGGAAAAAAAAGATCAGGGGGGAGGGGAGACTTACAATTAAGATCGGGCTCAATCTTTTGGATTCTCAGCAAACCAGTCTAGTGTTTTCTCCCCATATGTGCCAGGAGTGTCAGACAAGCCGCTTATGGTAAACCACAGCTGTAAAGGTTAGAATGCGAGGGAACTTGTCAACAAACCCACAAATGACTCATCTGTCTCTCCATTACCACCATGCGACTGGTGACATTAGCACACAAACACAGGTCACGGCACACGCAACTTATCATCAAAAACATTCCCCAGAACAGAAAGAGTAGGCGTGAGTATACACAAAAACGAAAGGGAATCCCGTCAAGAAATTCAAGTTACACAATGATTTCATCTCAGTTTCCCATAAAACAATGCCTTCTGCTGACATCACAGATTTTATTCTGAGTTAAACTTAGGGGAAATGTCTGGAACAGTCACACAAACCCGTTACTATAAATGTTGACATTCATCTAGAGCAATATCTGAGAGCAGATTAAGGAGAAATAAAACAAGTTTGACTTCTGGTTAATAATTTACATGTTTTAGACTGACAAATATGATTTTCAAGACACAAGGCCATGCTTTGAAATCAGAGTGCCTTAAACTACTTGGCACAGGCAGTAAAAAAAAAGTCTGTTAAGACTTTTGAAATGCCAAAAATTCATGTTTAGTTTGCATCCAAACGCCAATCATAACCACAAAAATAAACTTCCCATCAGTCTCAGGCTCAATAAATCCGACTGTATGAGTGTTAAATGACAATCTGCAATCCTACAGGTAGGTGAAAGGCGCGCAGACACATTCACCTTGTTTGACTCGATGGGGGGTTAACAAGGGAAAAAAAACAAAATACAGCTCCTTCGATGTTGTGGATGCATCGTAGCTGTACAGCTATCATCAAGGACGGTCCCTCTTCCCCACCCCACCCCCTTTGGCTAGTGAAGCACGCAGCCTACCTAGACGGATGCATTAAAAAAAAAAAAACGCGAAATACAATGTTTAGCACGCATAAGACGAGAAACTACAGATAATCCAGACAGCAGCGGGATGCGTTTGCAAAGACTGTCCATCAACAAGTCCCCATTCACTCACGGACAAATAGGCTGTCGATCAAAGTTGTCATTCCCATAAATTGCGATGCAATGCTGCTGCAGCCAGGCAAGGCAAGGCAAGGGGGGGAGGAGGGGGAGACGAGACGCTCAGACGAGTGGGAGAGCGAGGGAGAACGAGAGCTACGTTACCTTGTCGATGTGCCCTTCCTCACATCGCAGATGCTGCATTTGAAAGCCTCGGCGGTGTTCCTGAAGGTACAGACGCTACAGTCCCAGTAGCCGTCATCAGCGGTTTGTTTGGCTTGTCTTTTTGGCCTTACAAACGACACAAATGTTAAGGTCAAGTTAGTTTCTGAAATACCACAGATATAATTCACGAATAAACAAGAAAGGGGATTGTGACAAACAGAGCGCGTTGTGTAATAAACGAGCTCCTCAGCAAAGCCCGGGGCATGGTGGTGTTGTCATTAATATTGGGTTCGAGTCCCGGCAGTTAGAGCTCCTTGGTTCATAAATCTCCACAGCGGCGGAGCGAGCGACTATCCACAACGTCCGATTGAATCGCCAGCTAGGCTAGCGGGCAGGCAAGCACTGCTAAAAATTTCGGCATCGAAGCTTAGCATGTCGGCTAACAAAACCAATATCAAATAATGCCCATTTCGACATTGACCCTGCAAAAGGCTTCGTCGAGACGCAAGAGCGTTTCAGGGAATGCCAGGCGTATCCTCGGAAAAAATTCCCTTTGTCTGTTAACTGACTGGGCTGTAAAGCAGCGAGTAGCCGCCATAGTGACTGCACTATTCTAGCTAGCTGTGGCATACCAACTGAAAAAGGGAGAAACGATCCCTGTGTGAGAGAAACGCATCCAAATATCGAGCTCAAAACGCTCAAAACAAGTCGAAATCGACAGCGAGCGGTCGCATTACCTGGTAGGGCTCTTTTTGTCACCCATGGTGAAGAACAGTCCTCGAAAATAAGAAGAAAAAGGGCCTCCTTTAATTGTCAGTGAGTGTAGTATGGTCCTGGTAGAGCCGCTGTTGAAGCTGTTGGCAGACAGGCTCCACTCAGTGATGGCTCGAGGCACGGCACAGCGACTGACTGCACTTCAGCACGTGACCAGCAAACAGCCAATCACATCTTCCATGGGTTTAAAAGTCTGGCTTGGATATTTAGTAGCTATTTTAATAACTACTACAGATATTTGACAGACCGCTCCTTTACCCACACACATACATATCTACAGATTGCAGCGTTGCAGCGCTGATACAGCTTGCAACTCTTGTGATTAAACAAACATACACAGAACTTGTAAAGCGCATTAAAAGCGCTTCAGAAGTTAAATGAGGAAAGAAACAATAAAGAAACGGAAAGAAACGTTACACTGAAGCTATTCACAGAAAAAAACATATATATACACGACATAGGTTTGCCAAATAGACAAATGTGTGTTTTTTCTTTTTTCTTTTCTTTAATCATGTCAACAATTTGATATTTGCTCCATTTCAATCAGTTTTCACCTTCACCAGGACTGCTTGCTGTTATCTGAATGAAGAAGCCCAGGTACGTGCAGGTGAATCTCCATGGGCACGCAAACATCATCACGTAATTAAGCCCTACACTTAAACTCTATAAAAAGTGTTTTCACATACATTATGTCCACTTAAATGTGCACTGTTTGTCACAAAAAGCAATGCTCTTGCATTTAAAATACATCCACTGTGAATAGCCACATTTGATCATTCAGTCTCATGGACCGTATTACTCCTCATCAGAAAGTGCCTAAATGGGAAAGTTACTGTTTACTCATGCAGGCACAAGTAACTCTCTGGGTCTCCTGACTGATTCTAAACTATACAAAGACACAGAATCCTTATACAAGAGAAACTTTTATCCACTGTACCCTCCCGGCTCTAACAGGCTGCATCCTGGAATGTGCTGGAGCAAGCAGTGCACCTCTTGCGCGCCTCCACTCTGCCCAGGACAAGGCTCTCTGTGGGGGAGGCCAAGCGTGAATCATGTAGGCTCATTAGCTGCTCTCCACGACTCCAGGTCCTATTGTGAATCCCTCGCCTTTTCTGTTTGGAGTGAATATCCATTCCTCCACGTTAGTTTGCCCTCCGCCCAGTGATTACCTCTGCTTAGCTCATAGCATGCTGCTCTAATTGAGCTTCATCACGGTGGCCTACTGATAACTACAATTCAGTCAAAACAACATTACGCATTGCCTCGCTGCTTCTGTAATGAGTTCCTGGAAAAAAACTGGGGCTTTTTTGTTTGTTTGTTTTAACTTGCAAGTTATACACCGCTCACTCGCACAGAGTGTAGTGAGTCGAGTTCATTTGTATTCACTGTATGATTCCTTGGAGCAACGTTTTTCTTTTTTTGGGGGGGAAAGACCACAACATTTGTGCAGGCCCAGCTAATTTATTGATACAACACAGATGAAGAGCATATTAAAGGAGGTGTTTAGGAACAGAACATCTGGCCTGAAGGTGAGAGAAGTGCTCTTATGATGCAGATTCTTCCCTCCCTACCTGAAGGAGATTAGGAATCTGGAGAACTGGTGCCAGAGGAACAACCTCCTTCTAAACGTCAGTAAGACAAAGGAGCTGATAGTGGACTTCAGCACTAAGCAGGAGAGGAACTACCAGACCCCCGTCATCAACGAGTGCCCAGTGGAGAGAGTGGACAGCTTCAAATACCTCGGAGTTCACATCACGCAGGACCTGTCATGGTCCTGTCACATCAACACCGTGGTGAAAAAGGCCCGACAGCGTCTCTACCACCTCAGACGCTTGAGAGACTTCCAACTGCCCTCCAAGGTGCTCAGGAACTTTTACTCGTGCACCATAGAGAGCATCCTGGCGGGAAACATCTTAACCTGGTTCGGGAACAGCACCATGCAGGACAGACGAGCTCTACAGAGGGTTGTGCGGTCAGCTGAGCGCACCATCCGCTCCGAGCTCCCTGACCTGCACTCAATCTACAGCAGGCGGTGCCGGACCAAGGCCAGGAAGATCGTGAAGGACCTCAGCCATCCCAACAACAGACTGTTCTCTCTGTTGAGGTCAGGAAAGCGATTCCGCTCCCTGAAGACCAACACAGAGAGACTGAGGAGGAGCTTCTTCCCGCAGGCGATACGGTCTCTCAATCACACCACCACACAGTACTGACCCACACATATGGTTCTTACACACACACTGGACATTCTGGACTTTGGTTTTGCACAACACTGGTCACTATATTCTTCATTTCCAGTTAATACTTGTACAGCTGCTGTTATTGTGTATATATTTATTTATATTTAGATTTCTTCATACATTCTTATATAGTTCTATATTGTGTATTTTGTTGTACAGTTATTTTATTTTCAACTTTAATTTATATATTTTATCTTATTCTCCCAGTTAAATTTACCCTTCATTCTAATTTGTGTTGTGCAGTTATTTCATTTTTAACCTTAATTTATATTTTATTCCTTCCTAGTTAAATTTACCCTTTTTAATTTTGCATATTTATTTCCTATCTTATTCATAGCCTTTCCTTTTTTTGTTTTCTTTAGGTCACGAGCAGTTGTCCAAGCATTTCACTACATATCGTACTGTGTATGACTGTGTACGTGACAAATAAAATTTGAATTTGAATTTGAATTTGAATTTCCCTCATCAACTGCAACCTTAAGCAAGGCGCTTGCATTACTCGCAGACGATTTCACAAAACAAACAGTTAGCCCTCATCCATTATTTATGAGAGGTGAGGAGCCGAGTTTGAACAGCATGGCATTAAGGTGGTGAAACAAATCAGGGGTGAGCTACGCAGAAAGAACTTTGAAGGCATTTTATGATGCCGAGGAGGATGACAGTCATGCCAATCACGCCGGTGCAAAACTGCAAGAAATCTAATTCCACCAGGCTCGAAGAAAGTGCGAATCGCTGTCAGATTGTTGGTTTACCTGCAACTCAGAACTGTTGAGACTCGATCTGACTGCATCCCTCATCTCAAACAAGCACTTTGTTTGAAGCGTGAAGCAGCCTTGAATTCCAATAACTCCAGAGAGCTGCAGAGCGTCTGAGAGTAAAAGATTGGGGTTGTACTGCTTCTAGGCATGAATGTGTAAAATCTGAGTAATGTCGGGTGTTTGGAGGAATCACGGGTTCAGTCTCTGCAGCAGCCAACATGCTCATCAAAAATCATTGCTCTGTGACACAATACACAAAGACACATACACGCCCAAACCCCCAAACAACGATGTCCATATTGAAGAATTCCACACCTCTTTGTTTACCTCTAACACTAAGAGTTCTTGCCATGGCTGAAATCAATGTATTCTCTATGTAAAAAGGTGGAATGATAGGTTATGAAAAAGTCACTTGTAAGATTTGATGTTCTACTTTTTTGACGCAAATACTCATCCTTAAAGTGGACTGAATAGCCACGATAGAAAGATGAGGACATGGGATAGAGGGTTAACAGTGCAGTGACCTGTCCACGGTGTACCCGCTCTTTTACACTATAACAGCTTGGATAGGCTTGAGCCCTGCTAGGATCCTAAACTGGATAAATGGTTAAGAAAACGGATGGATGGATAATGGGCACATTTTTGGACCATCCAAAGGGCAAATGGACTGGTTCTTATATAGCACTTTTCCACCTGAGCACTCAAGAGTATTTTATACAACTCACTCATTCACCTCATTCACCCAAGCACTTTTATCTACACCTAAGTGCTTTCTTTCTAACATTCACACGCATTCACACTCCAGCAAAAGCATCGGAGAGCAACTTGGGGTTCAGTATCTTCAAGGATGCTTTGGCATGCAGACTGGAGCAGCCAGGGAGCAAACCACCAACCTTCTGTTTAGTAGATGTCTCTTGTGCTGTTCACAGCAGTGTAAGAGGTTGTAAAAATGGAAAAAGAAAGAAACAGTTGTGTCAATTATGACCAAAAAAAAAGGAAAAAGCTCTGAATCCTGGCTCTTTTCTCACCTATCAGATAGCAGCCAACCGACTTGTTGAAAATGTGGATTTGAGTGTGGTTTAGAAGCTATTCGTCCAACCAGCCATCACTCACGTGAAGCATACTGCCAAACACACTCATCCAGAAAACTCTAGTTTGCACAAACCTGCTGTTCTCGTTTGTCCTTTTTTTTCCCCTCGCCACAGTCGGACCTTAACCCGGTGTTGTGATTGCCTAGCTCTAATCTAATCATCATGCAACAGTTTTCCTTTAACCCTAAAGGTTTCTCCATGTTTGAAGTGAACTACTTTGTACAGTGTGTCATCCGACCGCATCTTAAGAAAAAGATGTTTATAGCTGTTCCAAATGGCTCACAGTCAAAAACAGGGTGAAAACCCTGCTGTCAGAGAGAGTGGTGAGACATGATATGCATTTAAACGGGGATAAAAGCATAAACTGTCAGAAGGTTTTTCTCCTCATAGGCATTCACAATATTCTGCCCATTTGGATATTTGAAAAGTGAAAAACGCTTCAGTTCAAACACCAAAACGGGGGTCAGGGATCTCAGATGTTCCGCTATCCAACAAACACAAGAGGAAAGCCTACGGGACACCAAATAGTAGCTGCTGTGGCCAGATACTGCATATAGAGAGAATAAAAAAACAAACTGGCATGGCTGCAGTAAAACATGTTGAAATCGAATGTAATCCACAGCTTTGCAAAGTGTGTTAGTGGTACCGTTAGGGTGAAGGTGAATGTGTACTATGATGTAATGGTTGGAGCTCTGCATGTCAATTCAAGGCTGGACAAGATATCAGTGCACGAGAGAAAAACAGAACAAGTTCTCACTTGTAAAAGAAATATTGGAGATGAAGTCCTGTTCACTGAATCCTTAGACTATCCTGCGTGTCACGGTGTATTTAAGCTGAAAGATTACACCTTTATTAACAGGACAAAAACAAATCAGATGTCTCCAGGAAACCTGCCCAAAGCTTGAGTAGCAGTAAAACACCATCGCACAACAACTGCAATTGCACTTAGTGAAAAATAAACCTTCTTTTGTCTCAAGCACTTCGGTTTGCATCGAGGATCAGAAACTCCTCTGCAATTTCACCACAGGAGCCCACTGTGCAATTTCAATATGCCA